CCGAGCCCCTTCTACATAAACGGAGGATGGGAGTTCAGGGCGTCAAAATTTAAACGACCCACATTCTAGGGCCCGTCTCCGCCCGCGGGGGGGGAAGAACGTAAGTGCCCAAACCTTGAGGATTGGGAAAAATTTGGGAGTTCCAGCTTTTTAAAGAATGTCAGGGCCACATGTCGGGAAATTTTTGTTAACTTTTGGTTTGGGCAAAAATAAGTACCACTAAAAGAATTGGGGGAATGTTGCTTTTCCAATAGATTACAGGAACAGTATCGATAGGGGAAAAGCCCGAGAAAGCTAAAAAAAACGAGCCTGGGTAGCATTCTGAAGGGTTAAACGATGCGCGTACCGCCCCTTAAGAGCAGGAAAAAAATATTTTTTCCCCAACATGGCGAAAGTGCCTTGCCAATACGTGGTCAGAAAAAATGGGCAGTAGGGGAATTCGGTCGTAAAGTGAAAAATTTAAACCTTTGGGTGCATCTAAAACCTGAGCGGGGAAAAAGGTATTTAAAGGGACGGGGTCGATTTTTCCCTGAGAAGAACGAAAGGTGGAGAATAAAACACGGGAAATTTTGCCCTTTTGGCATTTGGCGGGGACCAAGTTGGCCCCACGGGGGAAACGGGCCCCGTGGGTTTCAAAAATTCCCGCACCGAGGGGGAGAGGCCGGGAAAAGTCAGAGGAAGCAAAGGGTTTCAAAAAATAAATCAAGGATTAAATTCGGGGCCTCAAAACCTAAGGGGGTTGAGGAAACAGCCCCGGGAAAAGAGGTACAGGGGCCTAAAGGAGTGTCCGAAGAGTGGTCCAAAGACGAGGGGGGGTCAGAACGGGGTGGGGTATCAAAAAGGGGGCCCCGGGGGGTAGCAGGCATGGACTAGGGCCCATGGTTTTTTTACTTTTTTCTTTTTTTTTTGTTTTAAAAAAAAAAAAGGAAAAGAAAAAAAAATAAAAAAAAAGAAAAAAAAAGGGGGGGACCAGGGGGGTATTCCTAGGGGGGAATAAAAGGGGCCAAAAACCCCCCTCCTCCCCCAAAGGACCTCAGCACCGCAAGAGCGCAGAGCAGCATGGAACCCGTCCCAACCCCTACCCATCAGCCAGTAAACCGGCAACCCGGATACAACCTCACATCGCGGTCTACCTCGTGGACGAAAGAGAGGGCAGCCGGAAATCCCCACAAAGCAACCCCTTTTCGCCACCCCCCCCGGAACCAAAGGTGGCTTCCAGAGATACACCCACGCCCGAGACCACCCAAAGCCAACACTCCGGGTACCGGAGAGGGATCGACATCCCCAGGCAATCCAGATTCCCAGAAAAACTATGCCACTGCCAAAAACCCTCAACGGAAGGGGATGGACCCCGGTACCCTTTCCCCTACCAGGAACTACGGCCGGGGGGAAAAAAAAAAAAAAAAGGGCCCAAAAAGGGAAGGGAAAAAAAGGGGAGGGGTGGGGAGGAGGAGGAGGAAAAGAAAAAGGGGAGGATGGGATAGGGAACGGGGGATTGGGGGGTAATTAGGTTCGGTCTGAGGAAGTAGACCGACAGGTCTAATTCCTCAGACCAAGAGCCTCTTCACCACGCCAAGGAGCCCCCCTTGAAGAGGTCTTCCCAAGATGACCTTGCAAGTACAGTTTCCTTGCACACAGTGACAAGAAAAGACCAACCCAGAAACACAATTGTAACTTGATAAACAACTTGTAGGTCACTAACTCTGATTAATGATACTGCTGTTCTGAATGCACCGAGACAATACTGAAAAATATCAGAAAAGGGCAGCTCCAAACAGGAGACTGGAGGTCCCAAACTGTGAATCATGCAGAAGAGACTACAAGTTCATTGTTCTGAGCATCACAATGTCCAGGAAAGATTATGTTATGCTTGTTGAAGAAGCAACACAGTCAACTCTGAATGCAAAGAATCTGAAAAGCTTGTAATGCACTGTCTTTCAAGAGGTGCCTTGATGGCAGTGAAGAGCTCATGATCCAAGGAATTGGCACAATCATCCCTTTCCTTGTAATAAATCTGATTTCCCAGATGGGAAGTACAGTGCCTGCACTCTGAAGGAGGGGTGTTAATGTTGCAGTTTAAAAACTGTAGTGTAAAGCACCCTTCTGGCAAGACAGTGATGGAGTGAATGATGGTGAAAGTTTTTCTTTTTCGGGCCACCCTGCCTTGGTGGGAATCGGCCAGTGTGATGATAAAAAAAAAAATAAAAAATCTGATTTCATCCCAATCCTAGAGTGCTGTATGACTCCAACAGGTTTAGCTTTACCCCATGAATAAAAACAACTGCAATGGATTTTGTTAGTCAAACTAGTAATGGAAGTGGACACATTTACAATGTGAATAAGCTACATAAAGTGGATATAATTCATGAAACTTTGGCTGTTTAAGTGTCCCTGTACTGTATCACACTGTCATGAAAAATACATATACCCAACTAGTTAAGAATTTAAAATATACACAGCAATACCATGCGAATGCAAATGAAAATGCTCAGTGGGATCACGTGTCCATAACCGAGACAAGAATTTGGGAAGAGGAGGGACATGTTCGGATCACCTGTACATTCCAAGGTAAGATGGAAAAAGAAATGAACACGGTGAACAGAAAAGAGAGGCAGAAAGAGGGAAGTAATAAACCTAAAGGCACAGGACAATTTTTTCAAGAGCAGTGGTAGAATAGAATGGTTTATAAGATAGGTAGTAATGCATATGCTACAACCTGTAGAAACTTTTCAACCTTTCTCAAGAGATTAAATACTGAAGTGACATCAAAAGTTTAGCTCTACTGCTGTAATAATCTAATCAAACTAAACACTAAACCTGTAAGGATCTGCTGCTGCTGTAGCTACAAATAAATCTCACACAAGAATGGCCACTGTAGGAAGGGGAGACAATAAGATTGGTCCAGGGCTTCGATGAAGAGCACCATCCAATTGCCTAGCAGTTTATCCTCTACAACAGTATTATTTACCACCTTACTTCAACTTCAAGTACATATATTACTAAGTCATTACTGTCAGTGAACATTTATGCTCTGCTTTCTTCAAGAAACCAAATAACTACAGTACACATTTGAAAGGGAATAACCGACAGATACAATGAATACTTTTATTACAAAAATTATGAGCAAATCCATAATGGCCTCAATCTAAGCAGTGAACTTACAAAATATACAAATATATTAAAAAAGTAAAGTATTCCAAAAATGTTGAGAATACTATACAGTAAATGTACATTCCTGAAGACATCATTGCTAATACAGCCACCTGTAACTAAATACTGCTCATATCCTTCCAGTCTTGCCAACACCTTGCAAATTTATTTCTCTACCTGTTTTTAAAGGGACTCGTACTTAGCTGAGAATCTGACAATAGAACTTTTGAATTACTTTGTAAAACTGTCAGAGGCTAAAGTAATCTGAACTGCAATATTTTGAAAAAAAATTTCTCACTAAAATGTTACCTTGATTATTCCGACTTCAAAAATCCAATCAAACCCTTTTGATTGCTTTCAAAAACAAATCTTTGATAGAAAATTGTCTTTTTCATTATAAAAAATCATATACAGAAAAGAATGCATTAAAACTAATTACTGTACAAGAGGATTATCATACAATATATATTACCTCCATTTGGCAAGAATGTCTGGTCAACTTTTTAAGCAGATCTGCTTACCACACTAAACCAACAGTATGTTAAAAATGGTATAAAATACCGACAAGTCGATGAGAAAGATGTGTGCAACAGTTGGGTATCTTTATTGTTGAAATGTTTTGCCAATGCAGTAGGATTCTTCAGTCAAAACAGAATGTATTGAAGGCAGTAGAGGTGATGAGGTAAGGATAATGTAATCAGTCCATCAGCCTTGTAGAAATAGTTTGATATTGTCAGTTCCTCAGCCAGACTATGGAGATGAACTCTTCTCCAGGCTGAGACCCTTATGACCTCAACTATTTCTACAAGGCTGATGGACTGAGTAGATCTTTACCTCATCACCTCTGCTGCCTTCAATAGATTGTTTTGACTGAAGAAGCCTACTGTGTAGACAAAATATTTCAACAATAAAGATACCCAACTGTTGCACATGTGTCTTACTCATTAACAAACCAATAGCCCTTGATTTGTTGTGCGTAACAGAATCTCTTTACTGATACTTCTCTCATAGCTGTCATGACATTTGTCTCAATGTACTTTCACATGTCACACACAGCAGGGAATGATTATGATAAATTTCAAGTAAAAAAGTTAAATTTTTATTTTATTACTTTAAAAATACTAAACTGAAATGACAGGAAAGTCAAAATTTTTGTATCGGTTACAAACGGTAATATAGTATTAAATAAAATTTAGTAAATATTTTCATGTGCTTGTCCAAGATAGTTGCTTCCCAGTCATGTGTGTTATGAAATTTTATAAATTAATACATAAATAATTTAGGTATGTATATAAAAATATACACCTTTTCTTACTGAACTGATTTCCATCTCAATGACATGAGACAATACTAATGCAAATAACATTATATGGAGCATGTTCAACATAAATATGAGACAAAAGAAGAGACCATTTTAAGTAATGACCATTTGAAAGAATTAAAATATTGTTCCAATTGAAGCCAGGCATCTTTTCTGTTCATCACCTTTTGCATTCAAGATAGAGTAATACAAGCAGTCTTGATCTCGCACTCCAGTTAGTGACCAACTCTTGTTCTCCAAATGTCGATGACTTGACAATAATAATTATCTGCTTAAGATTTCTGAAAGTTCATTAACTGCAAGCCTGTCAATATAATGTGCTTCTAGCAACCCAAATACCGATGTCACATTTCCACTCATAATAAGGTATCATTATGATTTCTCAAAAAAAAAAAAAAATTAATTAATATATATATATATATATATATATTATATATATATATATATATATTATATATATATATATATATATATAATATATATAATATATATAATATTATATATATAATATAAATAAATTATACCAAAACTACTATTTGTTAATAATGGATTTACTATCATAGTATTATAGGTTTGATCTATATTTTAATTTTTTCTTTGCAAAGTGTTTTCACGTAAAAGAACATTTGTATTATGACTTGGGTTCAAATAAATTAATGAGATAAATAATACCTTAAGTCAAGAAGAGAATCCCTCGGGGATTACCTTTAAAATTAATCGTACGGACATTAAATGTTGAAAGCATCAAGGTAGTTATCTAACACATTTTATGTTGTAATATATATCTATAACAAATTAAAATAGGACGAGACCAATGAGAAATGTACCGAGTATGAAAATAAATTGGTTATAGACACCCTGAGTGGTTGTATGTAATAATATCACACAATGAAGAAATAACATATTTAACACTACAACTTTTATCATTATATATGTACACTATATATATTATATATAAAAATCACAAACTTCAGACAAAAGTTTCTATATTATATCACAGTTTAATACCTGAATATCCAGAAACTCCTCAAAATATTTTGGCAGTTATGTCATTATATATTTGAACAATGACACCCAGGCCATAATTGAAGGAAATGATTTTGCCTGACAAGCTCCTCAATCCAACACTTCAATATACATCCTGAGGTGAAAGTGAATAATCAGAAGAAATTATTTACATTTCTGGCTTGTAAGTAGCAATTAAAACTATTTCTCACCTAATACTATATGAAGTCTCTCATCAAGGTGTTGGCTTTCCTCACTCGACCCCGGCTGCTAACATCCATCCCATCATCATCCTCATCATCATCATCCTCATCATCATCATCATCATCCTCCTCCTCATCCTCCTCTTCCCCCTCCTCATCACTGTACCTCATTCTTTTCTGTACATTTGTTCTTGACAAGTTTTCAACGTCTGAGTCACTATTAAACGAGCGCTTCAAACTGGTTAAATTCTTTATATTTTTACCTTTACCTTTAACAGGCGGTAATGGTGGATCATCGTACTCTTCACTTTCATCGGTCTCGGACATACCTTCACTCTCATCGTCATCACCACCACCATCATACTTTGAAGTGATAACTCTCCCAACAACTCGTCCTTTGTGTTTTACCTCATTGACAATAACTTTTTTGGGGGCAAAGTTGAAGGGTTGATAAGGTAAGGGTGCTTGGCTAGGCCTGTTGGCTGTTACAAACTCCTGCACTTGTAGCTTTACTGGCGTTCGTTTCTTGCCTACTGGCCCTGCCTTTTTCACAGGTGTCTTTTTCTTTTGAGTAGTCTTTTTTGATTTGGCATTTTTTGCATTTTTAGCATTATTTTTAACTGTCTTTTTCTTTTTGACAGGTTTAGATTTAGATTTAGGCTTAGATTTAGGTTTTGGTTTTGTTTTCTTCTTCTTCTTCTTCCGTTTCTTTTTCTTCTTGGGCTTTTTAATATCATCACTACCATACTCACTCTCAGATTCAGAACTGGATTCCTCCTCAGTAATATCAGCATCATCAATAAAATCTTTATCAGCTATAAAATCAGCATCATCCAAATCATCACCATCAAGAATAATTTTCCTTGCTCTTCTAACGCCAGATGCTACACCTCTTTTCCTACCCCTTTTACTGTTAACCTCTTCCTCCATACTCTCCTCAGTGCTAGATTCTAGATCTTCTTCATCAAATTCCACTTCACTCTCATCTTTGGTTCGCTTGATGTTTCTTGATTTGCCCTTGTTTGTATCTGGTGGGCACGCTCTTCGTTTGGAGACCAACCGTTTATTTTGAACGGAATCGCTACTACTACTAACACTACTATCACTAGAAGATTGTTTTCTTTTACTATTTCTTGGTTTTCTTAAAGATGTTTGCTTAGTGCTATCACAGTCAGAGAGTTGAGAGGAATTGCTGCTTTCTTCACTTTCATCACTCCCACTGAGCTTTTTTGCTTGGTTTATATTTTTTCTCTTGGCTAGAGATCCCATTTTTTTCTGTGCTAAACCATTCACACCATTAGATTTTTTCCTAGATTTTTCCTCCAACTCCTCCTCACTTGAGCTCTTCAGCCTGCTTCTAATACCATACAGCTGGCCATTAGTTCTCTTAGCACTGGGTCCTGCACTATCACAACTGCTGCTCTCACCCTCACTACTACTACCACTTGTTACCACAGTTTTCTTTTTAACTCTTACAATATTTTCAATTTTCACTTTTGAAGTCAACTCCTCCTCTTCACTGTCTTCATTGTATTGCACTGTAACTCTACCCCTATTTCTTGTGGCCACACCTTTTTTCTTGGCTTTTGCCACAGTCTTGGATATATTTTTGGGACTATATTCTTCACCAGAGTCATTGTCTTCCTCTTCTTCATCAATACACTTTTTCCGAGCAACCCTTCTAGATCGTCTCTTCGAGTCCTTTCCAAATGATTTTCTAAATTTAATCTCTCTTTCATCATTGGAAATATCACCCCCTAGATTTGCATCATCTTCAAATGCAGTAGATAGAGTACAATCTGTCCGATAGGGTGGTACAACTGGTCGACCATAGGATGTTAATGACGAAGATGCATTTTTCCTCGCTTCACCACTTGCTTTGGATGGGACATCTGAAATATTAATACATTTCTTAATTATCCAAGTATATCAATACTAAATTTACATGGGGATGGTTAATTAAACTAGCAATGTGAAGCAACTTTTGAACATGACTTTCTTAAGAGTATTACAGGCTTATCTAGGTACTGCATCTACATTTAACATGGCCACTAAGACATTTAAAGTATGCAGATCAAAGATATTGGCATAAACACAAAGTTATTGGATATAAAGATAATTCCTTCAGCAACCCTAAGAAAAACTTCCTCAGCCTGTCACCACTTGCTAATCATGTTCAACACATGCTCCATTTTAATATACAAATTATCCTCGTTACGCATTTTCTATATTTTATTACAATCAAATAAAGTGCTAAATTGACAAGAGTCATAATATTATTTTATTAAATATGTATACATAAATTTATTTACTGTACATGACCATGCATGCTTATGTAGAAAAAGCAACAGAAAAGCCTACATTGTGAATCAACATAATACAAAAGCTAGCTCAATATTATTTATATGCATACACAAATAACCCGCACATAAGAGAGAGAAGCTTACGACGACGTTTCGGTCCGACTTGGACCATTTACATGTGTGTGACTTTGTAAGTGGTCCAAGTCGGACCGAAACGTCGTCGTAAGCCTCTCTCTTTTATGTGCGGGTTATTTGTGTATCGTTCCAGTCACGGTATTGTGCCTTTTTTTGTTTATTTATTTATATGCATTTTAATAAAGAACTGTGGACACCAGGAGGGTCATAACACTATCACAGTAGCATGAAAAGGTAATAATTAGGGGTGTCACAAAGTATCAGTACTGATATCAATGGGCATTGGGTAATTTTGATGGTATTGGTATTGGTCATTTTTTATACAGCAATTTTGGATAGTATCAATCTAAAATTTAGTATCAGTATCAAAAATTTTTGTATCGTCCTATCACTAGCAATAACGTTTATTATTATTTGGAAACTCAATTTGTATTTTAAAAAAAGGATTTATTTCATTTTCTCACATACTGTGGCACTCCAATAGAACAAAGACTTTCTATAAACATCTCACAAGCACACGAGTGAAAGCAAAGTGCAATACTTTAATGAAGTTTACTTTCTCGGTATAACTACAATGGAGAAATGTGCAAATAAAATGTGAGTAACCACTTGCACCAAAAAATGAAATAGATTAAAGAGATGTGTATATTTCAGCATCAGTCAGACTTTCAGCAGATCTGAAGAGGGTCTGAAGCTGAAATATAGTACATGTATAAATATACAAATTGGAGTTGCAACAGTTGCTTTCTGCCAAGACAGTGCATTTTTGGGAGATTCTGAAGAGATGTTCCAAAAGTTGGTAGGAAAATTTGGGAGGGCACGTAGAAGGAAATTAAAAGTGAATATAATGTAGGAAAGAAATATGTGATGAGAGTAACAAAAAACATAGGCAATGAAAAACTGAATATCAGATTGAGAGGAGGTGGTGTGGACGAAGTGAATGTGTTCAGATATTTGTGAGTGGACTTGTCAGTGGACAGGTCTATGAAAGACAAAGTGAGCCAAAGAACTGACAAGGGGAAAAGATGGGTGGTGTACTAAAGCATCTGTAGAGACAAAGGAGATTATCCATAAAGGCAAAAATGGAAAATGCAGAGTATGGTGATACAATACTCTTAAATGGGTGTGAAGTAGACACTACTAGGAGTGTCCTGCAGATGCCATGGACAGTCTCATACAATGAATAGAATATGAAGAAAATTTCAGCAAATTCAATAAAGGCAAATGTCATTTTATAAGCTATAAAATATTTGTATCCACAAATGTGCTAAATAAGAATCAATGCTATAACAAGACTGCTTTGCATTACATATCAAAGGAACAAAACAAATCAAGCCACATAAATAGTCAGGTAACCATTGAAATTACAACCATTCAGATAAGCTTTTTAATGGGAAGGAGAACTGCAAGAAAACAAAAATCATGCCAACACCTTGTAACCAAATTAGGCAGAAAACTAATCCAGTGGCTGTCTGATTAAGTCCACTGATATTAAATGGGAGAAAAATCCTAACAAAAAATAAAATGATTCCTTTTTAAAAATGGCTACCTCACCAAGTCACAAAATATTTTACAAGACTGAGTAAATGAATCACAACGTGGCTTCAACTTGTATGTTTGACCACAAGGTGGTTGTAAATGTAAATGAACAGCAATCAGGATAATATCACTAAAGTTACAGTCAAAGAGATAAATAAGACATGTGCAACACCTGCATGTCTTTATTCTGATGATATTTTGCCAACCAGTGGCTCTATCAAATTAATACAGAGGTTATTTGAAGGTGTTGAAACTGTATACAGTAGAAGAGGAGGTAATCAACCTCTCAGCCTAGATGAAGGTGTTCACCTTAATCTTGATGAATATGAAGCACACAGTTGGTAAAGCCACTAGTTGGCAGAACATTTCAAAAATAAAAGATATCCAGGTATTGCACATGTTTCTTATTTGTCAGCTTGTTGGTACTGTATATCATTAACGCTATGATACATCAAAGGAGACTGACGACTAATGAACAAATTTAGCACAACGAATAGCAAAGGATACAATAAAACAGTATCAAAGAATTACCTTATGGCCTGACAGGATAATGTTAAGGAATGAGAAGATCATAGAAAATATGCAGATTGTGTGGTTGAGAATTTTAACGAAATAAAATTATGAACCCAATGTAACTGTACAGGTTAGTTGAACAAAAGTAAAATGAATACACTTTAACTACCAATACAAATTTACAGGGGAAGGGCAAGAAGGAATCAGCTCTAGCTCTTGGTCCTGCATCTTTTAACCAATGTGAACTAACACTGTATGTACGCAAGAAAAGAAATAGCAGGCAGAATATATGCCTGTAAGATCATATGAAGGAAGCCCAATAAGAACTTCCATATATTATTTTCATCTATAAACTACTTGGGATATTAATAACTATTGTTATTATTACAGGATGTTCCATAATTATGGTAAATAAAAAATTTAAGTAGATTCAATACAAAAAATATTGTTAAAAATAATTCCACAAGTTCTTTGGTTATCAAAGCAAATAAGCAGGATGTAATATACGATATTACACAGCCATCTGGTGTTCTTGTATTCTAGTCTTGTTTGGTGATTAATGCAGCACTGACAACCATGTCAAAAGGAAATTTCTGTATTTGGATTCTGATGAACCATTAAGGAATTACAGTACATTATTATCTGGGGAAGCACTAAACCTATGGGGATTTAGGCCAATTAGGTTCAATGCACGGTAGGGGAGGACAGGTCCACTTGGATGAAGAGTACTTAACCAGCATGAAAGCACCTCCCTTGAGAAGGAACCATTAAGGAATAAAACCTCTCAGAATTAACCTTTACACCATTAACATTATTATATTATAATCAAAAAGAAGCAGTAAACCTACAAGGGTCTATACCAGTAACAGACTTCTCTACAAGTTTAGCTCAGTATGCTTCAATTGGGTTTTCCTTTTTCCACATACAGTAACTGTTTACCGGTCATCTAACCCAGCCTGCTTCAAATGTACAAATGTAACAATTATGCACACTACCATACCTTCCACGACATAAAACACTTCACTTTTGAGCACTTATTTTTACCAGCTTACACAAATCAGGTTCTTTAGGCAAATAGTAGTGTTAGAACTCCATATACAACACAAGTCATGGACTTGTACATTATTATTATAATCAAAAAGAAGCGCTAAGCCACAAGGGCTATACAGCGCTGCAGGGTAGGGAAGGAAGCGAGGGTATTGGGCGGCAGAATGGGGAAGGGATGATCAGTAGGTTACAGAAAACAGCAGGGCAGGGGATAGTGCAGGGGTAAAGGGTAGCAAGAAATTGAGGTGGAAAGGGCTGAAGGCATCAGAGTTTGTGAAGTCAGTCAGTTGTTGTCAAAAAGTCAATGAGAGAGTCTGGATGAAAGGTGGGTCCATCAGCGAGAAGGGAAGGTAAAGAGAGAGCAGCGGAGCGAAGGCGACGACAGAGGTAAATTCTGTGTGCTCGTTGATCAAGTGGGCAGTCCAACAGAATGTGGCCGACTAATAATGGAGCCTGACAATTCTCACAGAGAGGAGCAGGGCGCCTCTCCATGAGATATCCACGAGTAAGACGAGTATGGCCAATGCGAAGGCGGGAGAGAGTAGTCTCCCAACCTCGACACTGGTGACAAAAAGACGGCCAGTAACCTATACTCGGTTTAATAGACTGAAGTTTGTTACCGAGCATAGTAGACCAACATTGTTGCCAACGGGTGTGAAGGTGGGTAGCTATTGCAGCAAAATAGTCCGTAAATGGAATACCTCTATATGAAACTGGTAGGTCATGTACTTCTGACTGCGCAGCAGTGTCTGCCTGTTCATTGCCCTGTACGTCAACATGACCAGGGACCCAACAAAAAACAATATCTTTATGCTTGGTAAAGATGCGGCATAGCCAAAGTTGGATACGGAGGACTAAGGGGTGAGGTGTATCAAATTTCTGTATAGCCTGTAAAGCACTAAGGGAGTCTGAGACAACCACAAATGATGACACAGGCATAGATGCAATATGGATAAGTGCTGCAAGAATGGCATACAATTCAGCAGTAAAAATACTAGCCGAAGATAGTAAATGCCCTCGTATGACTGTCCGGAAACACTGCTGCGAATCCTAGGCCGTCAGAAGACTTAGAGCCATCTGTGTACACTGCAATGGCATGAGAATGAGAGTGGAAGTGGTCAAGAAAAAGAGAGCGGGAAGCAACCGTAGACAGTAGGGCTTTCGAGCAAGGGAGAGAGAAAGAACAGACTCGAACAGCTGGAACTTCCAAGGGGGGTAGGGAAAAGTGAGATGCTACATGAACATAGAAAGGTGGTAATTGAAGAGAAGACAAGAGCTAATGTAGGCGAAGAGAGAAGGGACGGAGCAAACAGGAGCGGCAAACAAATAAACAATGTCTACTAATATCGGTGACC